CCTTTTTCCATCGCGTATTTCTCTTCATTTCCTTAGATCTTTCGACCATATGTGTCTCGCATCTTGATAGTTGTTTACCCTAACTAATGCTTAGATGATTTGATTTCCTGTATAATTGCAGTGACAACTTTTAATGTAGGATTTCTACATCACAAACAATATGAGGATAAGTATGAAACATGACCTTTTACATTATTTGCGTGTACAGTTTTGAGTTTGTTCAGCCAATAGCTTCAGTATTTCTACATAATTGTCATTATGCACTGAACCAACTACATCATCCTTCCTCTGAATGCTAGTCCTATAGAGGATCGTAACTTTATTACTGAGAGAATACGCTATAAACCTGGTGCCAGTTATTTTCTCTGACTACATTTACTCTGTTAAAGTCTTGTTGATATGCCTGCTTTTGTTTTTATGAATAACAAATTTGGTGATGCAACTTTGATGTAGCGAGCCTGTTTCGTGTTGACTGAAGTCTCTTGCTGTACGTTTCTAGTCAATGTAACCAGTTGTTGCTAGTGGAGAAATCTCCCTTTGACGGCGAGTAGAAAAACCAGTCTCTTTTAACATTTTCTCCATTCAATTGCTTGAGGTAAAAAAAGCGTTTGAATATTGTGTTTATACTTGTCACCTGGAATCGATTTTGTAAATGCGCTGAAATCTGCATCCATGTACGGCGATCTCCGAAACACAAACAAAGACTCTCATTTCATTACAATAACTGATTTCTTCATATTGGTAGGGGCTTAATTAAATTTGATGAGGTTGACGGTCATTAGTCTTGGATCTAGTTCTACGTTTGTTAAATTTCACACAAAGCTACTCTAATCGATCAGCTGGATTTGAACGTCACTCCTATAACGCACTCACATCCCGAAAGTGACATTGTTTTTGGCGGTAACGGGGCGCGAACCACGTAGATTCGGACCTACAGCCCAGAACACTAGGCTGCGCTTGATCTGTTGTATTATTGACAAGTAAATATTTCGTGAAGTAGAGGTGAAAATGAAATATATATATATATATATATATTGTTATAATAACAAACACAATAACTTTATAAAACCCAGGACCGGTGGGCCGTGTTTTACTGCTCTATGCAAACGCTGACTGTGTCGCCCATTCCCTATCCCCCTCTCTAATGGGAATTATACACAATTGCGCCCCTTAAAGCCTGCCGCCGTGTGCAAATGCACGCGCTGAAACCAGGTCCTGATAAAATTGGTAATTATGACATTGCTGATGGCTAAACAAAATAATGTCAACAATAATTACAAAGCTTTTCATAACATCTTTTATTACTAACTCAAAGCAAAGCAAATCTGTAAAGTTTACTCACGTGCCAGTGTAATGTACAAAAAACACATTTAAATAAGCAACTATTCAACATTTCTTTACATTAGGAAAGGTATTATCTCTATTATGTTCAGATCAGTATTGGAAATCATTTTTCACTCATCATGTTCTTCCTTAAACTGCTTCTCTCACGTTATTAAAATGCTTGAATATCTTGTTACACTATAAAATGCACGAGTACACACAATGATTATGAGGTCGGTCAAGTCCACCAACCTCGTAGCGAGAGTCTGTAATAATCAGGCCCGGCATGGCCAGGTAGGTAAGGGGCTCGACTCGCAATCTGATGGGTCGCGGGTTCGAATCCCCGTTTCAACAAACATGCTCGTCCTTTCAGCAGTGGGAGCATTATAAGTGACGGTCAATCCCACTATTCGTTGATAAAAGAGTAGCCCAAGAGTTGACGGTGGGTGGCGATGACTAGTCTTTCACTGCTAAATTAGGGACGGCTATCTCAGATAGCCCTCGTGTAGCTTTGTACTAAATTAAAAAACAAACTGTAATAATCAAAACATGTTTTGACTCAACTTATTTTTCCTTGTATAAGTCTTAGTTTCTTAGTTACATCACACTGATACTTATCCTGACATGACCATGATATTATGATAAACTATATACCAACAATCAGGAATATATAACTTCAAACTACAGTAATATTAAAGTCAAATATGCATTTTACAGTGTAACATTAAATGTTATTATTGAAAGTCGTGTAGGGATGATCTAGGTATAGTTCTATCATCCCTATATTCTTGTTTGCATTCTTTTTGGCACTGCCATCCCTACATCATTTTACATTTACAATATGTTCTTTATTATTTGTTTTGTGACAGTGTCACCGACTGAAAGTTAGTGTATTCTATGAATGTGTGTGTAATAAAATTTAATATTATGTGTATTAATTTCTTTTTTTACTCCGTTACTTCATACATAGTATAGGGGTTGACTTCCTAAAGACACCAACTGTATAGTGTACAAAGCATTAGTATCTACATGTTAGTCATCTAATGTTCATCTATTATTGGCTGATGATTCCTGTTTCGTTTACACTATAATTATGATGTTGTTGTTTTTATTATTATTACTACTAGTTATTAGAACCAAGCAATGACACAGAGTAGATTTAGGTTTAAACTGACATTAGTGATAAGGTAGTTATAAAATTATCTTGATGAAATAAGAAGAAGGATGAACAATTTGGTGTGTTGGTCACTTTCTGGTTTGGTATCTTAGTGATGGTTTCTTGCCTTATATTGGGGCTTGTTGGGTAGAGAAACAAATGAAAGTGAGTGACAATCATCTTTAAATTAAAACTTTCTGTCATTTTGATTTTTAGCATCCTGGCCATCTTTAAAAATAGAGTCTACTGTACCAACAAAACCATGTAACACACGTCTTACCCAACATAACCATGTAACATACAGTCTACCCAACATAACCATGTAACATACAGTCTACTGTACCAACAAAACCATGTAACACGTCTTACCTAACATAATGTAATATATCTTCTATCCCACAAAACCACGTAAGATACATTCTACCCAACATAACCATGTAACATACATTCTCCCCAACATAACCATGTAACACACGTCTTACCCAACATAACAATGTAACATACAGTCCACCCAACATAACCATGTAACATACATTCTCCCCAACATAACCACGTAACATACATTCAGCCCAACATAACCACGTGACACACATTCTACCCAACATAACCACGTAACACACATTATAACCACGTAACATACAGTCTACCCAACATAACCACGTCACATACATTCAGCCCAACATAACCACGTGACACACATTCTACCCAACATAACCACATGACACACATTCTACCCAACATAACCATGTAACATACATTCTACCCAACATAACCATGTAACATACATTCTACCCAACATAACCATGTAACATACATTCTACCCAACATAACCATGTAACATACATTCTCCCCAACCTAACCATGTAACATACATTCTCCCCAACATAACCATGTAACATACATTCTCCCCAACATAACCATGTAACATACATTCTACCCAGCATAACCATGTAACATACATTCTTTCCTAAAAAGCAATATACAATCCTGAATTTACTATAATTTGAGTTACAAAGTTGAAGTAATGTTAGAGCTAAGTCCATCATCCATCTCTCTTTCATACTTTACATGATGAATTATAATCCTGTAATGTCTGTAGAATTAAGAGCATACATAAATAGCTGAGTACACTTGTGAGCTAATCGTGTAATCTGCGATTATAAAACTTTCCACAACCACTGTATTATAAAAATGTTTTTGCATATCAATAACCATTATAAAATACAAAATTAACATTACACTAGGTTTAGCTAGAAAAGTTATTTATAAATTCATACACTATAGCAAGCCAAAAATACAATAAACAATACAACCAATAAGATTTTTATGAAAGTCACCAAAAACAAAATCTGAACAAATAATTATTTTCCAAGTGTACCAGCTGTTTGCTATTTAAGTCCAGACAGTTTAACATTTAGATCTAGCCATGTTAGATACATAAAGTCAAACATTTAGATCTAGCCATGTTAGATACATAATGTCAAATGTCTAGATCTAGCCATGTTAGATACATAAAGTCAAACGTTTAGATCTAGCCATGTTAGTTACATAAAGTCAAACGTTTAGATCTAGCCATGTTAGTTACATAAAGCCAAACGTTTAGATCTAGCCATGTTAGATACATAGTCAAACGTTTAGATCTAGCCATGTTAGATACATACATGATTACACTAATAAATAACAAAATATCAATAATGATAAAGACAGTTAAAAGTTACCAGATATTAATTATTAAAGTAAGATACTCTACTGTTTACAGTATCTACTAAAATGTGCTACTTGAGATTGGTCAACATTTTGAAGTTGTTGATAACTTCCTTATTATAATGATGGAATAATTTCAAAATATAGTTAATACAGTTTTCGAAAGGTGACAGTATTTCATAAGTTTTATTTCTGCAATGGTAGTAAGTAATGATGAATTTGTCACACAAATGAAAAAGCTTGTTTTTTAAACCCATTGAAATGAAGCATTTAAGATGTCTGTCCATGAAATTTTGTAAGAAACTAAGTTTCTTTTATCTCATTCTGTTAGTTGTGATATTATTCTGGTAAGCTATAGTTTAATGTATATATGTATCTTATTTATTCTACTACGTTCTTCATAACTATCCCTTACACTCTAAGTTTTATACCTACTTAACTGCAGAGATGTAGCCAAGACCTGGAGGGCCAAGCAGGTTGAGACAAAGACCAGGATCAGAATCAATATATTTTGAATGTGACAAACCTTATAATCCAAATAGCATTTCTTTACAAAAACAAGAGCTACAACAATAATAAGAAACTTACATTTTGAATTTTTGGTTGCATAAAAAATATATTGATCTTGATCTTGGTCTCCCTCACCTGGTCTTGACTACAATTCTGAATAATTGTACTGGACTCGTAAATACCTACAGACATGGCCATCTGTTGTTCATCTTTGTAAATAAACCTGGGGATCACTTTATATTTGTCCACCAATCCTGGTGTCATGTTTATATATACTGTTAAATAAGAATGGACACCACCTTATGTGTCATTTTACATATTCTGAAATTAACATAAAAATTACATAAACTATTGTGTTTTGGGTTACAAATATGTTCAGTCATTTAGAACTTGGATAAATATTTGCACAGCAATATTTCTAAGTGGTGGTGTGCTACATAGTTGAAAATTCTTTCGTATGTGTTTCAGAATATAAAAATTAACACCCACAGTTTGATTTCATTGTGTTTATATTTTTTTCAAATTAGCTTACAATTTCAAAAAAAATATATATTAGGACAACAGTAGTAAAAAATTAGTATCTGGAAGAAAATAGAAATATGTAATGTTTCATTTTATATACATTAAAGTGATCAGAGAGTATGTAATACTTTTAAAAGATATAAAACCATACACCAACATCAGGTTAAAGATAGTTCACAAAGTTGAGAAACCTATGCTTGATATAAGTACGTAGCTGAAAAATTGTGTTCGAGCAAAAATATATTCACCTGCTCAAGAAAAATCAAAGAAAAGACAGCGAATATCTTAACAGATATGTACAATAAAGAAAAAAAAACTTCAAAATTCATTACAAAACACTAACACACCCTGTACAATGTACTTTATCTCATAATCCAATACATTCTTACCAATATTTGTAAAAATAATATTTGCATCTGTCATAGTTTCGAAATACTTATTCTTCTCTGAATATCAAATATAATTCATTAAAAAATGTACAGCTCCACTTGTTACACTGGTAACTTTTTCAACACTTCATAAAATGTATTTTTAACATAAATTTTAAAATATTAAACATCAATCTAATTTCTGAATTTATACTTATTTATTATTTTATTTAAGCCAAAAACAACACCATTAAATGGTCTTTTCACAAATTATACATTAAAAGAAAAATATCTTTACAAAATAGATATGTTTCTGTCACAATGATTTTCGAAATTAAATATTCAATAAAAGTTTAGGTTTTAAATTTTGAGAATGTTTTAAGTTGTTTCACTTTGTATGCTATTCTTCACAAAATAGGGCCCATGTCTGAAAACCTTGAATAAATCCTAAATACACTGAAATAAGTTAATTATAGCCTTGGTTATTTTATTTTCAATATCTGTCATTTTAAAATTTTAATATCTACTTTGATCCAAAAAATAAAAATCTTCTACAAATTTCTTGTTAAGTAAGTTGATTAACTAAAAAAAGAAAAGTACATTCATAGTGTTAAGCCTAATCTTAAACATGAAAGTTCAAACATTCTGGTTAATTAATATATTGCATTTCTAATGTAACTTATTGTGTATTGGCTAGTGCATTGAGAATAGTTTAACTTTACTATTACAAATATCTAAGAATGAATCTCAATGCAGTTACTTATGCCAGCAACAAAGTTCTTGTAACAAACATGTTTTCCTAAATTCAAGTTGTAAGATGTTTCATAATAACGTAGTTTACTTTGTTCCCATTTACATTTATTAAAATCTCGGGTCTACACACTGTGACATGAAAATCAGACTTAAATATTCTTAGGCCTAAACTAATGATTAATGGAGATGTGATATTTGTTGGTCTTCCATTGTTCAGGGATCATCATTCAACTAACATAAAAACCCTCGATATTGATTCAAGTGTAACACTTAAGACTTGTAAAGATGATGGTATACCAATTTCAGAGAATGTACCAAAATGGTATGTTAATACAGAATTCAATGTATATCAGGTTTACATGGCGTGCAATGTAGAAAAATACAAGTACTGTTACAGAAATAAAAAATATTATAAACTATTAATAGCACTGAAAGTTACAACATTTTCAATACTTTTTTAAAATCACACAAATAGATAGGTTCAAGTATTAAAGAAGAAATTCAAATTAATACAAAGAAGGTTTATAAACTACAGTACAAATTCTTAAAATATTTTTCAAAGGACAAATGAGATTAATTCAAAATATCCCATACTTAAAACCTTTTTTAGAACTATATATTTTCCATATTATAAATGTAAGCTTACACTAACATTACAAATTAATAATATTTACATCTGTATTTTCTTAAACTGTAAAAAACCCATTATAATAAGGCCATTGCTTCAACTATAATAAAAAGTACAGCTGACTTGGTAACTAGATAGGCTTGGTATAGAAACACTTCTTTCTCAAGTACAGACTTGTAATACATTTTATAAGTACAAAACAGGTCAAATTTACATGCAATATACAGTAGCGAGGCTTCAGAGGTTACCAATAAAGAAGTTTTTGGATATCTTACATGCAATAACCACAAAGAGTTCAATAAAAAATATAACATCAACTTTTTTCCACAGATGATGTAGAAGTAATGACATTAATTTAATAAAACTGATGACTCCAAAATATTTCCTGAACTCTTTATCTCCAAAATTCAACATGAAGATATTAAATACAGTGTAAAAAGATAAAATATATCATTCACAATAGCTACCTTAAAAATGAGGTTCCTTAATATCAACATACAGTTCTTCTATACTTCAAGAGGTCATAATGTTTCTAGAGGATCACAAACCCATGCCAACCACTCCATAAGTTCAAAATATGTTGCTTCTAATTCGGGTCCTTTGTGCTTCCTGTAGCTCTCGACCACTTGACGGAGACACGGAGCAAAATATGATAGGATAATTTCAGGCCATTCAAGTTTCATAACCTTCAAACAGTTCTCTTCCAGCTGTGTCCCCGTTATTTTTCCCGATATCAAAAGTTTCAATAATAATATTTCTAGTCCTTTCCAACTCTTCCTGGGTTCTTTGGAGTCACATAACAACTTCAGATTACGAGAACACACCAAATTTGTTATGGCTGTGCACTCTGGAACCTCCATCCAAAATTGCACGAACATATCCAGTACTTCCTCTGTGCACATTTCAGGAGCATGAGTAATTAAGGTAACAGCCCAATCAACAGTTAAGACTATTATGGCTTTTTTGGCAGAGGAAACCAAATCTTTCCACTTTAAGAGGGTCAATCTCACTGCTTTAATCAACTTAAGCACTTCAGTGTCACTATTTCCACATCCATTTCCTACAAGAAGTCTTTTAACAGCATCTTTTATTTGGTTAATAACATCAACTGGTGAGGAGAAAAAGTCGAGCAATTCTTTGCAATGGTGTGACGAATCTTCATCCAAGTTTGAACTTGTGTATTCTGACAGTTGAGATTTCAGCAGTTTGTCATGTTCAGCTTTGAGATCACTTCTGGTGTAGGTGTATGTGATGTTTACCTTCACCCACTGCATGACTTTATCCACCGCTATCCTAGTGGATATCTTCTGAGCCATTACCAACACCAACTCTAAAGTGTCCTCAGATAAAAGTACTTGAATAGCTTTACCAGCTTCTTCTGCACAGTATTTCTGACACATCTGAATAGCTTTAGACTGAGTTTCTTCACAAAACTGTTTAGCCAACTCATCTAATTGAGAGTTTTTATAGGTTAAACTTTTAGACTTGTCAGGAGTATCTGCTGGCAAATTGTAGCTCCTAAGTTTTTCTAACACAGAGGTTCTCTCATTAGGAATAATATTTTTTTTGATAGATTTAATCGCTTTTGAAGCTATTCGATCACCAACAAACTCTACCGTCTTTTTCATGGAAGCTGAGTGAATATGAAAAAAATTTTCTTCCAACTGATACTGAAGTTGTTTCTCTGTTACACTTGATGATCTGGTGTTTGCCGATATTGGAGTTATTTTTCTTACTTCAGCTGTCTTACTTCTGACTCCTGCTAGAAATGTTCCTAAAAGCACTTTTAGTTCACTTAGATATGGACAGCAAGAGTAAATAATCTGATGATCAACCAAATCAAAACTATCAAGTTCTTCATCAACATTTGATATGTTCTCACTTGAAATCAGCCCAAGTTTACTTATCCAGTTCTGTCTATGAACATCTAAAACCTCAATGAAGAATTGTGACTGTGGAAAGTTAGGTGTGTCAAACAACCAACCAATCATAAGCCTCAGGAACAAGTGGTTTCTAAAGGTGATGCTCATTTGACCTGGTACAACCCCTCTATAAATACAAAACAATAATGAAATTGTGGACTTATAGCTGTCTAGCTTAGGAGCAACTGGATCCATCATACTTAAGAACTCAACAATCCAAGGCACAGTTAATACAAGACGTCTTTTCAGGTAAGCTTCTTCAACAACTGTAAATAAGTTAATCTGTGGAGATGCTTTGTTTCTCATGCTTTGCTGGCTCACTAACAAGTCTCCAGGAAGACAATCTAAAGTTCTATAGGGGAAAAAAGTAATAAAACCCATAAATTTTCCAAGTAAACGTAGTGTGTGTAATGCAGTGAAAAACTGTTCTCGGATTTCTAGATCAACCCCAGTTTCTGAATCTGTAGGAATAATTTCTAGTCTGTTTACCTCGTATATCTTAGATGCTAGTTGGTCCAGCAAATGTTGATTAAGGGGTGCAGATGCAGCAGCCACTAAAAAATCATGGAAAAACCCTTGTGCATCAGGAAAACTTGGATTTGGACAAGGTCCTCCAACTTGGGAAGGGGCTGTAAATCTTTCTTGCAGTTTTTCAAATTTTTTTGGGAAAGCTCGTTTTAAAGAAGCAAGCAAATCTTCTGTGCTATCTTCTTCTTTCCAGTCAACATCTCCAAAACAGGTTGTAAGCAACTGAGAGTGAATTAATCTAGCAAGATGTGCATAATTAGCTGGATTAGGGTTAAGGTTTACTATCTGATGAACTCTCAATTGAAATTTTTCATGTTCTGTCCAACCTGGTGTTAAGTGGTGAACTTCCCAATCTCGTAAAAGCTCATAAAAGAGATCTCTCTGTTTTCGAAACACGTGGAATGAACGGTCACTGGGAAAATTCTTACGGTTATCTGTTTCTGCTTGAAAGGATACTCCCTGTATAGAAGATACACGAGGCTTTATGGACGGACTCACTTCTTCGTAAAGATGGTGTAATTTGTCTAATAACTTTGAAGAAAAATTCTGGACATTTGGATTATCTGCTAGTAATTTCAAAGTTGCACGATCAAGCAGCCTCAACAATGGTATTTGATTTTCCAAAATATTAACAGCAAAGAATACACAATTGTGTACAGTGCCAAATAAGTCTTCTTTGTGCATAACCTCTGACTGTCCATTACATGACTGCTTTAATCGTGCAGCAAGCAACTGAAACAGGAAATGCAACTCAACTGTTACATTTGGTAGAAGATTTTCATGCAAACAACCAGAATACAGCTGTACCATTACTAAAATCTCCTCTCTATGTGTGACCATGTCTAACTGTGGTGTTAAAAACTCTTGCTGTGGTGATACACTTTTTGTTGAATTTGACAATAAAAATTTTAACTCACCTTTTACTAGACCCTGATTATTCTGATCTAAATTTAACCATGAATCTGTATGATTGATCGAGCACTGATTTCGCACCTTTCTTAAAAGCTGGCGTTCTTTTTCAAATCCTAGCTCTTGTTCATCTTTCAACGGTGTGTCACTGAATACACTACTTGGAGTTTGGATTACAGAAGAAGAATTGATGCTAAAGGGCGAAGCAAAACCAGTTACTGGTGTAGATGACCGGTTCGTTAGCTGAATAGCTGTTATTCTACGAGGTGTATTCTTTATGGCACTATGAGTACCCATTGGTGGGAATGCTTCCATATCATTGACATTTGGGGGTGGGTTCTTTTCTGCTTTAGGAATATTTGAATTTCTCTCCCTATTTCTTCCACCCCTTCGACCATGATGACCAGATACGTTATGTTGAGATTTGGCACTGACATAGTGATGTAAAGGTTCTTCAAAACCCACATTGCTGCTGTTGTTAAAGTTCTGCAACAAGTGCATAGATTTGCTATCCTTCGAAAAGCTGAAGTCTTGATGAGGGAAATCATTTGTGTCAGAAAATGAACGTAAATGCATCTTTCTGGTATTTTTACAGCTTTCTTGTGATAATCCTGTGTCATATTTGGTAACCACAGCATGTTCTTTACATATCTGACTTGACTGAGTTTTTTGTTCATTAACAGCTGAAGTGACGTTATTGGAATTGTTTTCATTTATAGATAAATTACATAGTCCAGTAACTGCTGTGCTATAACAATTTACGATAGTAGTGGTAGTAGGCTTAGCGCACGTAATACCTGGAGAAAACTTCAATTCTCTGTGCGATTTCAAATGTCCCTTCTTGTTTGAATGTTGTTTAATTTTAGTTGAATTCACAATCTGCTTGATATCACCTTTCGGTTTTGAGTTACATACCATAACCTTACTATATTTGTTTTCTTTCACACAGTGTGTCTGTTCGCGGCTAAATTCGGATTTTTGTACTGTCTTGATAGGAGTTTGACCAGCTCGAGACGTGCTCTGGGTGATCCACAAACACTCTTCTCGAATGTAGTTCAAGAAAAACGGCAAAAACTCCAAACGCAAACCTCTGAGATCTTGTAAATTATTTAAAAAACAATCATCTTTAAAATCGCGATCTAATAACCATGTTAAGACTTCAGACGGTGTTATAACCTTCTGAAACAGCATACTTAGTATTCTTTCCATCACGAACCATTCCATTAAATACTACAGCACCATCTGCTTTTATTCAAAAGACAGAAACTGTATTTTTTCATCTTACGAAAATTAAAAAATTATAAATCCATGAAAACAATTCATACTCTAAACACATTTCCTTTTTATATTCTCAGGGAAGAGGTAGATCCTAATAAGTGTTAAAAAACTGAAACATATAACGTTAAAACGACTGTTTTCCCATATTACAAACAATGAATGTTTAAAACAATTTTTAACGAGTCATGGAAAATTGATGAATCGAGTTTGCGTTACTTCCATTGCGGTGAAGACATCGTAAATTGTGAACGCGAATGTTAGCATAATCTTGTAAATTATATTTTCAATATCTACCAGAGGGAGATGCTAATCGTGATGACAGTGTAGTAATCGAGAAATATCGACTGCTGTCTAAATTGGTCAGTTGGTTATAAACATGATTAATGATGAGTAATAAGAAGTTTAGTTCAATGACTGGGATGAGAATTCAAGTAATTAGAGTGGATTTGTTTGAAGTTAAGTAGAATGCTACACAAAGGGCTATCTGTGCTCTGCTTACCACCGGTATCGAAACCCGGTTTCTAGCGTTATAACTTCACAGACATACTGCTGTGCCACTTGGGGTCAATTAGAGTGGGGGAATTACCGTATTTTTCGGTGTATAAGACGAACTTTTTTACCCCAAAATTTGTAAAAATCTGCTTGCGTCCTATACACCGAAGGTATGAATAATATATGTGTGTATATATACGATATACACAAGCCATGTGTGAATATATCTAAATAGGCATGCATAATTTAGTTCAATTGAATGTGTTATTTATAACAATAGTAGTTAAAAAAACATAACTATTTATAATGCTCCATAAATAATAAAAAAATAAATTACAGTGAAAGCAATGAAGATTTTGTAGGTTTTGAACCAAACTAAATATCAGTAAGCTTTTTTTGATTTACGGTATTTTCTTATTTTGATGTTTTGAGCTTTTTTGTGTTTAGAACAATATATACTAATTTTTAAAGTATCAAATTGAATTTTTGTTCAATAAAAATCTTTCAAATGCGACTTTAGCTTTTTTTTCCCCCTAAAACTTTGTCCTCAAAATAAGGGTGCGTCTTATATTCCGAAATATATTGTAAGTAACTGATGATCAATAAAGAATTGGTGGGGTAAAGTTATTGAGTAAAAAGAGTTAATATTTCTGTAATAATCAATAACTTAGTAGCATTTTTTTTATCAATTAATGAAAATTTTGTTAAACGTTATTAGTGTATTAGGCCTACAATTTGCGTTAAACTGAATATATCCTGTAGCAAAACAACAAAAAAAACTTATTAAGGAAATAAATTAATTTTTTATCGTTATGTGGACTGGATTTGGCATTATTTTGCACTGAATAATCCAAACGAACCCACCCAACGATAGACAATGAAGATATTTAATATTTTTAATTTTAGACTTACAGCTAGAACGAAAATACTTGCTTATTGTTAAAAAAGGAAAGCCTTTTATGAGTAAATAAGTAGAAGTATGTTTGTTGAATTAAAAGTGATTAACAAAGTAAAAATGTAATAAAATAAAAGATAAAATGATAAAAAATCAAGAAGAAAGGTGAAGCTAACTGGGATTTTCTAGGAAAATATGGAAATGTTTGCTGATTCTTATTAATCTATTTGGGCTACTTATTGGCCTCTGGTAGAACTCAATATCTCAGAGCTGGCGAGCCGGATTTGAATCGTGCGAAACCATAAAATATTACACGCAATTTAAGCTGTAGGTGCGTTATTAGAATAACACCAAATTCCATAGCGTGGATGATGGTGTGTTGTTTACTAGCTGTCTCCCATCTGTGGTACTAAATGACACTGTTACGACAGCGGAAGTCACGCGACGTTGGGAG